TTCAAATCTGATAAAAAAATGTCTATAAATTATTTTATGGAAATAGTGAAGGAGGATTGCATGTTTGAGATCTTTAAGCATTAATTTATAGGACAAGAACTAAATGTATAGAAGTTGGGAATAGAATTGTGGCTCCTGTGGAACTATGGTGAGGAGTTGAAAAGAACTAATCCTAGTATTACAATGAAAATTGAAAGGCAAGGTCATAAATTCAAAAGAATGTTTGGGGGCTTGCAAAGAAGGTTTTAGAGCTGGGTGTAGGAATGTAATTGGTTGGATGGGTGTTTTCTAAAAAGTGCACTAGGTAAGCAGTTATTGGCTGTAGTAGGTATTGATCCTGATAATTGCATGTTTTCTATAGTTTAGGCAGTGGTAGATGCGGAGAACAAAACAAATTGGGAATGGTTCTTAGAACTTTAGCAGTTGATATTGGGATGTATAATGCTAGGATTTAGACCTTCATTTCTAACAAACAGAAGGGCTTGGTAGACTCCATAAATTTGTTATGTGAGGGTGTTGAGCATAGGTATTGTGCAAAATATTTATACGTCATTTTCACCTTAGTGCATAAAGGACTGACTCTGAATAGTATGTTTTGGGATGTAGCAAGGGAAACAACAGTGCCAAAGTGAAGTGTAATGAATGAAATGAAAGATATGAATGAAGTAGCATTTGAATGGTTCAACAAGAAACTAGCATCACGGTAGAACATATCACATTTCTAGGATTATTCAAAATGCAACATCCTTCTGAATAACTTGTGTGGGGCATTTAACTCTTCCATATTGATTGTAAGAGAAAAGCATATTATCTCAATGCCTGAAAAGATAAGACATCAACAAATACTGAGAAAGAATGCCAAAAGGGAAGTTGCACAAAAGTGGGATCATACTTTTGATCCTAGAGTTATAAGTATTGTCGAGAAAGCAAAGAGGGATGCAAGGTTCTTGAAGGCTGACTATGCTGGAAGTGAAAAGTTTGAGGTGAGCAATAGGGATGAAATGAGATGAAGTGTGGACCTAATGAAGCGTGAACCTGCATATAGGAAATGGCAACTTACTAGAATACCTTGTGCACATGTAATGCCTGGTATGCTATCGAGAAACATTGGCATATATGAGTATATAGATGTATTCTACAACAAAGAAGGTTGCCTGAGGTCCTATAGCCCAGTCATCTAAACAATATCAGGTCCTAGGTTGTGGCCAGAGCTGAGGAAGTTGAGAAAAAGGTCCCAAGTAGAGCCACCTACAGGCACCAAAATGGCAAGGACTTGAACAAAGATGACATGGAAAAGATGTGGTGGGACAGGCCATAACAAGAGAACATGTTCTGGAGCAGACACAACAAGATACATAGCCAACTCAATCACAGGGCAAGGGAAAGAGAAAGGTCTCTACACAGTAGGATACATCTCCAACTTCATCACAAGGCAAGAGCAAGAGAAAGATATGTAAGCCATTCAAAAGGTTTGGGACTTTCCATGCATTCAAAAACAAATGTTTGGGACTTAAGCTGCGACATAATAAAAAGGTATGGGTCTCTATGTACGACTAAATAAAAACGTTTGAGATCTGCAATGTACCATTTGCAATAGGTTTTCGAACATATTTTTTCCGTCATTTTGAAACATTTTCTCACAAGGGGAGAGGAGAAACTGTAAGAAATGAAAATTAGGGCAAAGCTATTGAACGATAACATGTCTTATTTAATGGAAAATAAGTTATAAGGCCATAGACAATACTCAATTTCTAACACATAAACCCACATTTCAAAACATAAACACAACATCCGAACTTAAAAACCTAACACAGACCTATGCACAAGTCCATTTCACAAAAACTTCACATACAAATCCTAATATCCAAGTCTTCCATAAACCACGACATCTGTACGTAAGGCGTCTAGTCTAGCTTCCATATTTCTTCTAACGCATAAAAATTCAGGGATTATCTCCCTTGGTCTGTTGTACATTGGAGGGTCGTACTAGTCAAAAAAGTTACATCCACAGACATTCGACGTCGTTGGGAAGTGAGAAATCTTCTTCTTGGATTCAAATTCGTCCATGAGGTCTTCATTTGCACAGGGTTACTATATCTACATACATTGCTCTCTATATTCATGCTGAAATAATCTAAGATAAATGGAATAGAGAAAAATATATAAGACCTGTAAAAAGAGGAAAATGAACATTGATTAATACAGCGAATAAAGGGGAATTAGAATTGCCCGAAAATGCCCATGTTTAAATTGATCAAAATTTTCCTTTTTTCCATTTTTGAGATCATTCAACAATGGAATTAACATTTTCCATCATTTTGGATCGTATCTATGAATTTCTTAAAGGTTTGGGACCTGTAGTTGCACAAACTGGAGGCTGAGATAAAGTTTGCAAAAAAGAAAAGGTTTGGAACTGCGCCTGCAATTTTCCCATAAATAAATTCATTTTGTGGGGAGGGGGGCAACTCTTATTGCACAATACGCAATAGAGAAATACAGTTCGAGCCCGACATGGACGTGGGGACGAAATTGCCTAATTTAGTGAGCTATGGAGGGGACATACTTTTACAATAATGAGCATTTTGGTTCCAACAATTTTCAATTTAGCCCACCAATATAATGGAATACGATATCTTATTTGAGCTTTTAGACATGTAGCATGACTTGTTTGAGTATTGTTAACGCTAACAAATGGAGTAGCACAAACTCTTATATGTTGGTTAATGTTTATATGTAATTGTCGTGAAATTGTCCCTTAACATTTAAAATGGAAAAGTGATGCATTTAGCGTACCATGTACCCACGTAGAAAGGAAAAATAAATATCTACTTGGTTTAGCTAAAAATTAGATATTTAGTAAATTTTTATAAAATAATAATAATAATTGATGAAATTTGTAGTTTAAAAAATGATAAAGTTGTGAGTTCCATGAAAATTAATTTGAATAAAAATGAGTTTTTGAAAATGAGAACCAAATAATGGCAAAATAATAAAAACTCTTTAACCAGTAATGTTCGGATAAGTATTTTTCTTAAAAGTTTCTAAATCTGATCTCAATAGTTCGAATCAAATAACATAATAACAATATCTACATAATACATGAACCAAAAATTTGTTTAAGTGAATTCAATATCAACGGCATTATTAATTAGAGAAATCTATATAATTATGACAACTGTTTTTTTTTTTTTTTTTTGGGATAACCATTTTTAAATTTGATAGCCATATTAATCTGAATATTGTTATCAAGTATTTAAACAACCATCCATTAAAAATTAACCAATTTTAAATAAGTTTTTACTTCTTTTTTCCTTATTAGGTAAACTTAATTTATTTTTCTTTATTAGGTAAAAGAACTTTAAGTAAAAACCAGTAAATTATTTGCTAATTTCTTTCTTAATTATAAATTGGGTTAAAAAGGTGTCTGATGATGAGATTACTGGATTCATTAATTTTTTTTTTTTTTTTGGGATAACCATTTTTAAATTTGACAGCCATATTAATCTGAATATTGTTATCAAGTATTTAAACAACCATCCATTAAAAATTAACCAATTTTAAATAAGTTTTTACTTCTTTTTTCCTTATTAGGTAAACTAAATTTATTTTTCTTTATTAGGTAAAAGAACTTTTAAGTAAAAAGCAGTAAATTATTTGCTAATTTCTTTCCTAATTATAAATTGGGTTAAAAAGGTGTCTGATGATGAGATATCTGGATTCCTTAATTAAATCTATAGTTTATTTCAAATTATAAGATTTCAACAATTAATTAATTTGATTCCGTCCCTACGTAAATCTTGTTCTATAAATACATAATTTGAAATAGAGTTACCCGATTTTGGGTTACATTATTTTGAAACGGATAGCAATTATAGCAGCGGTGGACCAACTTAATCTCAAACAAGGTTTTAATAATCCCAATCATAGAAAATTAAATTCCATGCTTATCAAATAAGCAGAAATTTCAATCCGAAAAGACAATTTTCTCCTTAACTCCTCATAATTTGGTCAACAGATGTATCATTTGGCCCTACCCTTTTTGGAGAATCTTGAAAAAGAAATCAATTAAAACCATCCAATTAAATTAGTTGAGAAAAATTCTTTATTGGTTTCGACTTATTGCTTAAGTAGCAAGTTGATTTCATACTTTAAAAGGGAGCAAACAGATCTTCAACATTTCATTACAGTTGAACATTAATCCTTCATTAAATTATTATGTGATCACCGTGAAAATTTGTTGGGTGATGCTACATGTACACCTCAAAGGATTGTGTAAAGAATTATGTACGCATAACTTTATTCAAATTTGTTTTGCTCAACATGTTATACAAAGTAGACTACATCGAATAATGTCCAACTCAAAAAATTAGGAGCCAGTCAAGTTATAAGCAAAAATTTGAAAATTTAAAATCCGTCAAAATAACTAGAGAAATAGCCTATTCAGATCTAAAATTATTCGATTTGCAAATAAAACCGATCAGCGTAGGGAAAAAATTGTATTAGTTCAACTCTTTGTGAAGTAAAACCTAACTTCATAAAACAAAGCACATAGACTAGAGAGCTTTTCCGATTGTGAAACTAAAGATCAGATTCTAGTTGCCGTTAGGTCAATAAGTTGAGGACCAATCATGCAAGTTTACTTTATTGTTAAGAGTAACATTTGACTAAGTAAGCCATGTAATAATATTTGAACCCACTTATGCGACGACCCGAACAGCCGAACTTGTGAAAAAGTACATGCAAGAAAACAATGGAATAAAATAGAATCTTTCTGTTCGAAGAATCATAATGGCCCCACCTGTTTATTGACATTTTTGCCCCTCATGTTCCTTTTATACCCCCACTGCACAGTGAACAGATATATAAACCAGACACCCCTACCCAGCCCTCTTGTGCTTGATTGTAAGATCAATGAAACAATCAAATAATTTTGTTATTCTACAAAATTATACACAGAAAAAGATTTGACCAAAAAAAACCTTGAAAAGGGTGTTAGAAAAATGGGTGAGAAATTAAAGGAACAGAGTTTAGATGCGGGCTCAAATTTTGTTCCGAAGATCATTTCAGATATTCTCACAGAAGTTTCAGTGATCGATGATTTTTCGCAGAAATTATCAAAGCTGAATTTTTATGTTAACGCCTTTGAAGAAGAATTGAAGAAGATCAATGCTTTCAAACGTGAGCTTCCAAATTGCATGCATCTGTTGAAGGACGGTTAGTACTTAATTTTTTTCTTAAAAAAAGTTCTTATTTTTATCCACCGGTTTTTAGTTTTTTATATGAAGATTTGAATTTTTTTTGTACCCTTTTTTGTTTATTATTGTGGGTTCTTGATTTTTTTTGGGTATGATTTGATTTTTCTTTAGCAATTGAGAAATTAAAGGAGGAGGAATTGCAGTTAAAGGGTAAAGAAGTGTGGCCAGTGATGGAACAATTCATATCATTAAAGAGTGATTCTAACGAAATTGGAAGGGATAAAAGATCAGGAGATTTCAGTGATAAAAAAAATTGGATGAGTTCTGCTCAGCTATGGAGCACTCCAGTTCTGTATGAAAATGATTTTGATAGTAAAAATCAAGACTCTGGTTTACACTTCAGATCGGTATCATTCCGAAGAATTTTTTATTTTTGAACACTTTTTTGGGTTTTTTTATTGATTATTTATGTTTGAAATCTGATTTTCAATCATAGAGGTATGAAGAAGAGGGTGGCATTGGAAGTGAGTATCAGCAGCAGGTGTGTAATTTTGGCAACAGGGGAGGGGCATTTGTTCCTTTCAAGAAACCATCTGGTGGAGAAATGAAGGGAAACAATGGGATTGTATCAGTTCAAGATCTACCACTGTCAAGTCCTGTGGATGAAATGGGATCCTACGATTTGAGTATGAAAGGTAAATGTGGTAATGGTAGGGTACAGCAGCAGCAGCTGGCACAGCGAAAACAAAGGCGCTGTTGGTCCCCGGAACTGCACAAGAAATTTGTCAATGCACTCCATCAGCTTGGAGGAGCACAAAGTGAGTATCATAATCCCTTGATGCCCCTTAGAGTCTCCACCCCACCTTCAGGCCCGACATATGTATTGTTTTTGTGGGTAGGGTGGGGTCACTGGGGTGGGAGGGGGTGTGAACATTGCTATCTCTAATGATATGAAGTGTCTGAGTTTGTATTTATGGAATTTTATTGGTGTAGAAGGGAAAAGATTGATAATTTACTGAAGTTGAGCCATGTAATCTTGAAAAAGAATAATTTAAGGGCATTAAAATTGGTTTCTTGTCTCTTTCGAGTCTAATTCCATTCTCTCTTAGTAATTTGAAGTTATCCTCTAAGAAAAATTTGATTTGTCATGTAGAGTTTTGTTGAACAATGCCAATAGGACCAGAAATTAGTGACATTTGATTTCCTTGATAATCCTTTAATCTTCACATGGCTTGCTTGCTAAGATCCATGGTCAGTAAAGAAGATAAAATCTTGTATGAACTGCATGACAAACATGACCTTAGAGACTTTCTGGATAAAGCAGTTTTGTGTGACTAGAAGTTATATTATCTCTTGATACTTCTCTCTCTCTTTTATAGCTAGGATTTAATTTAATGTCACCGGTGTCTTTATTTTGTAGCAGCGACGCCAAGGCAGATTAGAGAACTCATGAAAGTGGATGGCCTCACCAATGATGAAGTGAAAAGCCATTTGCAGGTATACTATAAAACCAATTATTTTCCTTTGTAGTGGTTGAATCCTCTTAGTAATTTGATAAGCAGTATTGGACACGTCTAGACAATACATAGATTTTAACTTCTTTTACTACTGTTGACTCTTGTTTGATACTCTCTACCGAACATGACTTTGTGAAATCATAGGAACATTATGACGAGAAGTTGTGTAATTTTCAGAAATACAGGCTTCACATACAAAAGCTTCCAAGTTCATCAGCTGGTGTATCAAGTAGCTCATGGTTTACACAAGAGCAGTATGGAGACTTGTCGAAGGCAATCATCACGCATTCTGGTTCCCCACAAGGCCCGTTAAACCATGGCGGGCCCACTAAGGGTGTCTGGGTTAATGATGGTGATAGCATTGAGGATGATGAGGATGAGAAGTCTGAGAGCCATAGCAAGAAAAGTCGACTTCAGCAGCCAGTCGAGGACCATGTATAGGCAACTACAACCTAAATTTTGCTGATAAAAACATAGGTGAATCAGTATCTACATACAGACAAATAAAACAAATGTTATACAAAAAGGTGCTGAATTTTTTCTTGTGTGTCTTGAGGCAGGTTTCTAAGTTATTTAGGTTATCAAACTTTTTTGAATTTGAAGATGTTGTCTTTAATTTGTTTGTTTTAAGTTAATTTGAGCCCTTTTATAGTATATAAATAGGGAGTTGTTTAACAATTTAGGTCGTTAGAAACCTTGAATGTTGTTTATTTGGTACCGCTGTTCAATGAACTCGTCTTGTTGTCAATCTCTAATTGTTTTGACAATTGTTCTTTATCATTGGTAGCATATTTGATAGGGGGTATTAAATAGTGCTAGATAGTTTTAACGTACAAAAAACCTAAAATCGTGTTTATTATTGTCAAGTCCTATCCTATCAGACAGTGTATACCATCAAAAATGCATTGCATGTTTTTTTGTGAAACTTGTTTACTCGAATATACAAGAATATATTCACATTTTATATATAATTGAAACAAAATTTACTTCAATTCTTTCTTATCTGCATATAGAATTTACGCTTAGTCGTACTTCTTTTTCATTATCCATTGTTTTCTAGAAAATTCTTTACGATGTTCTCCCTTTTAAGAAACTCAATTCTAGAAGAAGGATGAGACAATATCGAGGAAGGCACAAGAACATTTATATCTGTATATAAACACCTTGCCACACATACCCTTAGCTTCTTAGTGTTTACATTTGTGTGTTGTTTGATTGTACTTAGACACGAAATAATGCATCTATATAAAGTTTCTAGCATAAAAAAGTTATGGAAGTTCTTTTCAGAACAAAAGCAGCATTTTGGTAATGCCAGGAATATTAATCTTGCACAGGTTAAGTACTTTAGTTCTTCAGTTTATGGAGGGAATATTTTGGATGTAGTGTTGAATATAAACAGGATTTTATATTCTTTTTATATTTGATACGTAGTATTGAATCTGCAGTGAATTAATTTTTTTATACTCTTAGCCCCTGTTTGGCACCCATTCTCTTTCTCATTCTCATTCTCTTTTTTCATTTCAACCACACAATCTCCAAATAAAATAATATTACACACAAATCTAAAACTTTTCATCATTTTTCCACCACACATTCTCCCATCAATCACTATTCCAAAATTTTTCAATCCATTAAAATGAGTGTCAAACACTCCCTAACATTGTGCAGTTTACCTTATGTTTTGTTGTAAATTTGATTTGTATAAGGACCTTGGCGACTATCAAACGTACCATATCAATTCGTAATATCCATGTACAGTGTTATGAATTTTATAATTAAATAGATGGTTTTCAATTATTTTATTTTATATCTTTGGTAAAATGAATTATTTAAATATTAGTATTTTATTGGTAATTTATTTTTTTCGAGGTTTTTTTTTTTTTTTT